GCAAATGTAGTTTCCATTTCTGGGGTAAAGACAATAAATATAAAGATGAGAGAATGTCAGTGTTAAGTGCTATGCAGGCATATTAATGTGTCCTATTTTAAAATGATAATATGAGTAAGTGGGTAGTCAGGGATGACTTCAAAGATTGTATGGTAGGAGGGAGCAGTTTTGGCAAGGAAATTTCATTCATGGAACTAGGAATAGCAGAGAATAGTAAGTCTTACAAGGAGATTGACAGTTTGGGTGGTTGAGGAAGGGGGATTTCTTTTTTGCTTAGGGAACTATGAGGCAAAGTCTGCTTATAAGATGGAGTGAGGGCTGGGGATGTGGCTCAAGCGGTAGCGCGCTTACCTGGCATGCGGGCGGCCCGGGTTCGATCCTCAGCACCACATACAGAGATGTTGTGTCTGCTGAAAACTAAATAAATAAATATTAAAAAATTCTCTCTCTCTCTTAAAAAAAAAAAAAAAAGCCCTAAGGCTAACTTTTAAAAAAAAAGATGGAGTGAAATACTGTGTAGAAGATTTGAGGAGAGAAAAGTAAAAGTAATAGTTATTTTGAAAGATGAAAAGACTAATCTGGGGGGATGTTGTATGATTGCCAGTGTTGTATGCAAGAATTTAAAGGGAGGTCAGTCATTACTGTTGTATACTTTTCTGCTTTAAATGTTTGTTCAGATTCTTTACTGTATGTAACAGAATAGATGGCTAGAGGGTTGAAACCTCTTGTGGAACTTAGAAGTCTCCCCCCCAAAAAAACCTAAATAGAATATTTTGCAGAGTGAAGGTTTATGTTAAAGAAAAAGATGCCTTGAAGATGAAACAATTTAAGTATTTGTGTGTGTTTACTTTTGTGGTACTGGGGTTGAACCCAGGGGCATTTGTACCTTGAGCTATATCCCCAGCCCTTTTTGTATTTTAGATAGGGTCTGGCTAAATTGCTGAGGCTGGCTTTGACTTTGTGTTCCTCCTGCCTCAGCCTCTTGGTTTGCTTGAGTGCTGGAATTACAAGCATGCATTACTTTACCTAGTTACAACTGGAAATTTGCATTTATAATGCCTAGTTGTCCAAGTAGCCACTACTTGTTTGGTCTCTTGGAGCCTCCTCTCCTTTTCCCCTCTATTGATTGGCACATAATCCCTATATTCAACCATCCAAAACACATGACATTTTCTCTATCATCTCTTTAGCTGTTATCTTCATTTCCCTTCACAAACTTCAGATAAGAATCTATTCCTAGAAATCTCCATTTTCTTACTGTTTGCTAATTTTTTTTAATAGATGTATTTAAATGTATATTTTAATGTTAGGTGTTAGGGAAATGAATAAGATCTCAATTCCTGGTCATCCAACCACAATTTAATAGGACAAGTGTGTAGTGTACTGAGTATGCACATTTATTCAACCTGTTTCAGTTTGCATTCCCTTTATGTCTTTTAAACTTAAATTATTGTCTAAATACTAAACCAGTTCTTATTCTGAGTTTTCTAATTAGTTCCTAATCTTTTTGCTGCATTGATACTATAGCTACTTCTTCCTTCAAACTTCTTTTTCTTTGATACCACCTCCATTTTTTTCCTATCTTCTTTATTTTGTTGCTAACAATTGCTAGAATCTGTATATAGAATTCTTTATATCCCAACTATTATACTAGCACTTTATRGACTTTCTCATTTAATAGGTAGTTCTGCAAGATAGATACTATTTACTATAATTATTGTGGCAAGTCATTTGCCTTTAATCCTGGTGATTAAGCATCAGTCACTTATTATTTTTTAAGTTGTACATGGACACAGTACCTTTATTTTACTTATTTATTTTTATGTGGTGCTGAGGTTCAGACCCAGTGCCTCACATGTCCTAGGTGAGTGTTTCACCACTGAGCTACAACCCCAGTCCAGTCACTTATTTTAATAAATACTATTTAGATGCCAGGCCTTGTGCTTGTCCTGGCAGGAATGCAGAAAATTGATAGGTAATTGGAATATAGTGCATTATGATAGGGGTCATATAGGTTACTAAATGATCCCTGTAACTGGGCAAGCTTCTTCTCCATAAAATAGGAATTGATTTACAACATCACAGTATAGTTTTGCTTGGTTTTGAACTTCATATAAATGGAATCATAGTATATAGGTATGTCTAACTTCCTCATACTCAACATGGTGAAGAACATTACATATCAGTTTGGACATGTTATGTTTTTTTTTTTTTTTTTTTTCATTTTGCCTCTGTATTTTCATTACAGATGGTTTGTACTGCTGTGTCTAAGTTCGTGAATCTTTTATACTGTAGGATCTAATCTGTTACTCCTGTCAGGTATACTTTTTATCTCCTGAGGTTTGATTTTGGGTCTTTACAAAAAAATATTATAATTTATCATGTTTTTAATTTTTACCTTCGTGAGCATGTGGAATATATTTATAATTGTTTTAGTATCAGTATCTAATTCTGTGTCATTTCTGGATGATTTTCTGTTCATCTCCCCCCCCACCCTTGCCCAATATGGGTTTCCTGTTTTTGTTTCCTTGTTTGCCTGGTTGCTGGAATTGGGGGTGAGGCAGTGTGCTAGGGATTAAATAGATTTTTAAAATTCCTTGAATATATTATATACACATATAAATGCATATTTTTGGTTACATTCTGAGATGCAGTTCTTTGGAAATACTTAAAATTTCTCTTTTTTTTTTCTTTTTGTGATATTGGGAATTGAGCTCGGGGTACTTTACCACTGAACTACACATGCACCATGCACACATGCAGGCTTGTTTTTGTTGGGGGGGGGGGCTTGAATCCAGGGCATTTAATCACTGAGCCATATCCCCAGCCCTTTTGTATATTTTTTTAGAGACAGGGTTTTACTTCAGGCCTTGGTAAATTGCTGAAGCTGGCTTTGAACTCTTTGATTCTCCTGCCTTAGCCTCTGGAGCTGCTCKGATTACAGGCACTTACCACCATGCCTGGCTCACAGTCTGTTTTATTTTTTTAGTTTGAAACTGGGTTTTGCAAAGTTGCTGAGCTCTTCACAGTTACCAAGACTGATCTCAAATTTGGGATCCTCCTGTCTCAGCCTCCCCAATCACTGGGGTTATAGGCATGCTCCATTACATCTGGCTAGTTCATTCCTTTTGAGGATTGTTTTTCTGCAAGGCTTCTATGCAAAGTATCTATCACTGAGGCCCTCTCAGTAGTTTTCTTCCTCAGTAAGCTGATTAGCACCTAACCAAAGCCTGGAGGAACTCTGCAGATTTCTACAGCTTGCTTTTTAATTCTGGCTACCTTGGGGCTTCCCAAAGTCGCCTTAGTTATGTGTGTTTATTAGAGTCTGTTTGAGTTTCTTCTGTGTTCTGGTTGAAACTCTAGGCAGGAATTTGGGGCACTCAGAAGGCTCACCTTGTTCTTCTTGGATCATTGTCTAGTTGTTCAGTGTTTGAAAACTGATAATCCATGTATTTTGTCGGCCATATTGTTTTTTTTTTTTTAACAGGTTTTTAAAATAATTTTTATTTTTTAAAAGTAAATTGTACATCACAGGAAAAAAAAAAACAAGCAAAAAACAAAATCATCCAGTCACAAGAAGCTTAGTTGGACGTGTCCCTCTAGGTTGTGTGCATATATACACAATATCCCATTTTGTGTAATTGAGATTGTGGTGTGTATCATGCTTTTCCACACATCATGAATATTCACCAATTCAAAATCCCGAAGCTACATGAGTATTTTTTTTTTTAAAGAGAGAGTGAGAGAGGGGAGAGAGAGAGAGAGAGAATTTTTTTTTTTAAAGAGAGAGTGAGAGAGGAGAGAGAGAGAGAATTTTTTTTAATATTTATTTTTTAGTTCTCGGCGGACACAACATCTTTGTTGGTATGTGGTGCTGAGGATSGAACCCGGGCCGCACGCATGCCAGGCGAGCGCGCTACCGCTGAGCCACATCTCCAGCCCCGACATGAGTATTTTTTGATAACCAAGAATACACTACACCAATTCAATCTGTTATACTTTCTTGGGGACAAAAATTTCACTGAAGACAGAAATGGCAACAGGCCTCTAGATAGACATCGGCCATGTTTTAAGTTATTTGAAATGGAAGGGAAAATATAGTCTCTGTTAATCCTATCATGACTAGCTGTGAAAGTTGGTATTGTATGAATGTGCAGCATTGATGTGTTTATTTTTTGCTGTACAAACTTTGGACATTTGTGTTATACCAAATAGATAGTGTTTGTTTTTGAACTATTACTGGTATATAGAGATAAGTAAAAATGTTGGGATATATTTAGAAATATAAAGCAATTTGACATTATCCTGGCATTTCTACTGTATCTACAGATTGGAAATGAGAAACTTAGTCCCTCAAGAGTAGTCTGAGAAGCTCTGTACTAGGCCATTTGGTCAGAATGACCCCTTAATAACAGACTGGGGATGTTGCTCAGTGGTAGAGCATTTGCCTAGCCTGCATGAGGCCTGGGTTGGATCCCTAGCACCACTGCAAAACAAACACTATTTGAACATAATTGCAGAGGCAGAAAGTTTGCAGATATGGAATCAAGGGCATTCTAGGACTCTGGGCAAATAGTCTATGTGACTCTAGCTGTGAAAGTTGCTGCTTATTTTCAACCCCCTATGTATGACTGGGCAAGGATTAAATTTGACAATGTAATTAAATCAGTAATATTTGGTTCTTATTGAGTGTTTAATAAAGGACAACTCCCTCCCCACAGCAGTACTGGGAATGAGATCCAGGGATGCTTTGCCACTAAGCAGCATCTCTAGCCCTTTTTATTTTTTATGTCAAGATAGGGTTTGCTAAATTGCCCACTCTAGCCTCAAATTTGTGATCTTCCTGCCCCAACCTCCCTAGTCATTGGGATTACAGGTGGGCACTGACACATCCAGCAGATGACAACTATTTATTCCTTTATGTTTTCCTGTGTTTACTTAATATCCAGGCTTAAAATAGTCTCCATTTTTACTTTTTCTCCCTTTATTCTTCATTGTAGAATTGAAGATGCTCCAGCTCCTTCTACCTCTGCAGATAAAGTAAAAAGGTAAGATTATTTACATAGTTCAATTAGATTCACATCTGAAACACAAAGCAGTATAACCTGAGGGCAGCTAGTTTCATGATTTTTATTTTGCCCTGCTGAGGATTGTCTCAAGTAAAATAAAAGGCTGAGAATATAGCTCAGTGGTAAAGTGCCCCTGGTTCAAACCTAGTACCACATACAAAAAATACCAACAAAGAATTGGAAGTTTTACTTAGTTTTGCTCCTGTCCTCACTCATGCTTAACAAATTCTGCTGAACAACTTTTTCTTCATTTAGTCTTTTAATTTTGGGCGGAGGAGGGGGGTGGTAGGTACCAGGGATTGAACTCGGGCACTCAACCACTGAGCCACATCTCCAACTCTTTTTTGTACTTTATTTAGACAGAGTCCCACTGAATTGCTTAGTGCCTTGCTTATGCTGAAGCTGGTTTTGAACTTGCAATCCTCTTGCCTCAGCCTCCTGAGCTGCTGGGATTACAGGCGTGCATCATCAAGCCCCGTGCTCTTCATTTAGATTTAAAACATTACATCATTACATGATGATTTTGCTTTATGTTTGCTGTTTTGGTTTTTTGAGTGAATAAGCAATAGGAGGAGAAATTACTTAATACTGCATTGTTATAAATCTGTACCTATATGTTCTCCCTTTTTGGATGTCTGTTTATCCTCATCCTCTTAGCACTACTAAAGATTTTTTTGTGTTAATTTTTGTTTTACAGTGCTTGTGAGTTGAACAATCCCTACCACTGATCTATACCCTAGTTCCTCAGAAGTTTTTTCTTATACATCCTTGGGGTCCCAAGACCCTTTCAGGGATTCATTGATACCATATTTCATAATAACAAGACTCTTTGCCTCTTTCATTGTGTTGATCAATAGCATTAATATTGTAAAACCAATGGTGGATAAATCTGATGTCCTCATAACATAAATCAAGGTAACAGCACCAAACAGTACTGTAGCTCTTTTGTTCTTCACTACCATTTTCACTTAGAAATGTCCATAATGAAGCACTACAAACTAAGAAGTTTACTAATTCTCAGTCTTTCACTACWTGACTTTGTAGTATTCTGTCTGACAAAATATGAATTATAGATTAAAGCCCTTCTCACATATATGTTTTTTTGTTTGTTTGTTTGTTTTTGTGTGTGTGTGTGTTTGTTTGTACGGGGATTGAACCTAGAGCCACTGTACCACTGAGCTTCATCCCAAGCCCCTTTTTAATTTTTTAAATTTGAGACAGGGTCTCCCTAAATTGCTGAAGCTGGCCTTGAACTTTTGATCTTCTTGCCTTAGCATTCTGATTACCAGTATGTGCCACTGTGCCAGGCTGCCCTTTGTATATTATTGAAGTAGATGCACTTGTGAGGCACTGGATTTGATCTTCAACACCATATAAAAATAAATAAGTGAACAAAGGTATTGTGTCCATCTAAAAATAATAATAATAAAAAAAAGTTAAATGACTTGTGTTTTCCTGTAACTTCAGTTTTACCCGAAAGAACGACTGATTATTCAGTCTTGAGTATATGGCAGACATTTTTCTAAAAATGAGTAAAGTTGAGTGAGTCCCTTAAAGGGAGAGCAACTACCAGCATCTATTGCCAGTTAAAGAATTTAATTTTGAGCTCTTGTTTGTTTGTGTTGCCATACCTGAAATTAAACCCAGGAGTACTCTACTAGTGAGCTACCTCTCCAGCCCTTTTATTTTTTAAATTTGAGACAGGGTCTTGCAAAGTTGCCCAGATGGGCTTGGAACTCAATTCTCTTACCTCAGCTTCCTCAGGTAATGGGAATACTGGTGTGTGCCACTTTCTGCTTGGCAAGTTCATTCTTTTTGTTTATGAACATTATTCCATTATGTAGACATATCACATACAATGTGTTTATCCATTTGGGTTTCTAGTTTGGGACTATTACAAATGAAACTACTGTTAATATTTATGTCCCAAGTCTTTATGGGCATACCTAGGAATGAAATGCTTGGGTCATATGATAGTTATTTCAGCCAGGGTCTTTCTGTGCTGCTCAGATGGAACTTGGGAATCTACTATGTAGCCTCCCAAGTAGCTGGAGCTACAGGGAAGTCCCACCATGTCCTGCCTGTTTTTTTTTTTTTTTTTTTTTGTGTGTGTGTGTGTGTGTGTGTTGTCATTCTAGTGGGAATGAAGGGTTTGTTTTGCATTTTAAAAAAATTTTTTTGGGCTGGGAATGTGGCTCAAGCGGTAG